AATGGTGTTAACAAAACGTTGGTACATTTTTTAAAGTATAGCCTACCCATAAATATCAAAACCCAATCATTTAACACACTTGAAATTTTAATTTTGAAAAATTGAGATGGGTTAATGTTTTCTTTTTAAAAAATTAAAATATTTTTTGTTTTTACTTTGCGAAAAATAAAGTTGGTGTGAGATTAACCATCTAAAACAAAAAATAAACTCAAGTCTGTTATAGGCGTGAAAAACGGTTGCGAGATTCTTCTTTATATAAAAGAATTCTTTGTTTTACGAATTTCTGATAATGTATAATTTAACATACAAGGCAAAAGTATGTTACATTTATTTTATGAAGATATCAATGTATCAAATTCCTTTAAAATTAAATATATTTATATGATATTATTATGGGGTTTTTTCAAATTTTTTTAGAAAAAAGAATTGGAATTCAAGGGCACGAAAGGGGGAAAATCCAAAGTAGTTTTCTAGCGTACAAATCATCCCTCGATTAACTTCTTTAGTGACAAAATTGATATAATTAGTGATAATTTAGATTGGGTAATTTAAGGTCTAGTTTAGAGGGAAATGTAGTTTAGGGGCGTGAAAGGGAGTAGAGTAGGCGTATTATATGTAGCAGATAAATACTTATCAAAACGTAATGATGTTAGAAACGTAAATAAAATTACATAGATAGTTCTTTTTAAAGTTAGGAATTGTGATAAGGTTTTTTAATAGCAGGTAGAAACTATCGCATTATTATCCCGATAACATCGGGTAATTTAGTCTAGTATATTATATATATATATAATATAATGAGCTAAAAAATTACTTAGTTGTCAATAATATACCAATAAAAAATAAAGTATAATATCTTGTGCGGCAGATGGTGCTCCTAACATGATTTGGGGAGGGGGGGGGGAGAATGGCTTCCTTAAAATGATAAAATGGTGAATAATAAATGAAATGAGAAATAATAAAAATATTTATATCGCATTATTATCCCGATAACATCGGGTAATTTAGTCTAGTATATTATATATATATATAATATAATGAGCTAAAAAATTACTTAGTGGTCAATAATATACCAATAAAAAATAAAGTATAATATCTTGTGCGGCAGATGGTGCTCCTAACATGATTTGGGGAGGGGGGGGGGAGAATGGCTTCCTTAAAATGATAAAATAGTGAATAATAAATGAAATGAGAAATAATTAAAATATTTTAGAAAATCTTTCATTTTGCACATGAATTATAGTTCTCCATTAGGCCTATATGTTTTAAAAATTTACTTACTGTGTTTCCTTAAAAATTTCTTTCGTAATTCCTATTCATTCCTACTCCTTTTTCCTTCTCCTAAAACCTGTCATTTAGTTTTCATTTAGTGAGATTCAATTCAATGTTGGAATGTAAAAATTAAGTGTATATACATATATTAAATTCAGTGGCGTAGCGAGGGGGGTGCGGGGGGTGCGGACCGCACCAGGTGACACCATTTTAGGGGTGACACCCACATGAAAAACTGCATATTTACAGAGCACACACTGCTCGGTCTGACCGAGATTCATAAAAGAAAAACCGATCATACGTACATTTTTCACAAATCTAACCAATCCCAATGCGTGCTTTATTAAAAGTTCAAGGTTGCTTCGTCAGAAATGAGTTGACCTTATGTTTAGGTCAGAAAACACATTCATTATTCCACGCCGATTGAAGTGTTCGGTAACTTCCGTAAGTGACAAGAGGCTATATTTATCTAAATTCTGAAAAATAGGGCTTTCCATTGATACCAAATACGGTGCGGTCGGACGATTCTAAGCATAAGAATCGGTTTAAAATAAAAACATTAAACATGAATTTTTACCCATTTAAGGGTTCAAAATTTGTTATTTTACACAATTTTCAACTTTTTAATGATTCCTTCTTATTTAAATTTAAATAAATATTTTTTTTTCCAAAAGACATATATAATAGTATACATCAAAACCCAGAAATACTCAAACTCAAAAATTAATATTTTTCATGATTCGTCACTGGTATTGCGGTAGTGGTTGGTTTATTCACTGGTCAGTCAGAAATTGTATTGTTTTTGCTGCAGATTGTTTGCTTTTAATGTTACAGAAACTACATCCAAATGTCTTACTGGCTTTGATAAGTGGTGGAAACTGAGCCCACAATTACAAAATCATGAGGCATCGGAAGAGCACCTATGTTACCTTGAAAAGTGGAAGGCATTGGGAGCAGGACTTAGGACACACAATACAATTGATCCCGAAAGTAGTGCATTGATGGACATGGAGAACGAAAAGTGAATGCATATTCTGCACAGGTTACTGGATATCACATTGTTTCTTGCAAAGTAAAATCTGGCATTACGAGGCCACAACGAAGCTAAATCTTCACTAAAACTTTATTGAAATGGTTGAGATGCTATCTAAATATGACCAGAGCTAAAAGAGCACCACATGACACAAAGAGGAGAACATCTTCAGAAAAAGCATCCGCATCTTACCTTTCACCAGAAAGCAAAATGAATTTAAAAATGTCCTTCCAAATCATGTGAAGGAGACTCTTATCATGGATATAAAGGTTGTGAGGTACTTCGGAATTATGTTAGAAAGTACACCTGATATCTCACACACTGACCACATGTCTGAAGTGATCAGATAAGGGAAAATCCACAGTGGGAAAGTTGAAGTGAGAGAAGTGTTTCTAGCATTTTTCACGTTAAGATGGAAAAAAGCTGATGACCTCAGGTCTGAAATTCTTACAAATCTAAAACGTGATGGAACAGACATAATGGTGTTCAGAACTATAGGTTACGATAACGCTGCCACAATGTCTGGAATCCATGGAGGTGTTGAGCCCATTCTGAAATTAAATAATAAGAAAGCAATTTTTAATGGATGTGAGGGCCATTCACTTAACTGGTGTGGTCAACACTCTTTTGCAGAAAATGCTTTACTTCATGTATTAAATTTTCAGTACTCTTCAAAGAATATTTTTCTTCTTTGCTGCATCCACTCATCGAAGGAATGTTCTAATTGAACACACTGAAATGCCATTGAAAAGACTGTCAACACCACGTTAAAGTGCTCATCTTGCTGCTGTTAAAACAGAGAAAGATGAGTTTGATGAATGTGTTGCGGTGATTGAAGCTCTGTATAATCCTCTTGAAATTTGTTAATACAAGAGGTACTGCACGAGGTCTTTTACATGCTGTCTGTGATTTCAGGTTTATCTGCTACATTTACCTTTGGGCTGATCTACTTGAGGAAGTTAATCTTACACAGCAGTATCAGCAGGCTAAAGGCTTTACTCTTGACAAAGTGGTGACAAACCTAGAGGCCTTAAGATTGTTTCTGCACGAGAAGCGCCGCCACTCAGTGTGGAACATGCTATTGAAAAGCCACTTTTAAAATCAGACCAATAAGGAATTTCGGTAGAGAGAAGATTAATGTTGAAGAAGAGAATGGCAGTAGAACAATTAATGGGTGCTGGACTCTTTCTGCGAGTGAAACAGTAGGGAGATGCTGGAGTGTATTGATCGCTTTCATTTTGAACTCCAGATCAGATCATCAGCGATCGAGGAAGTAGCAGATATGCTTAGGGCTGTTCAACCCAAGAGTCTGGTATCAGCAAGTGAAGAAGAGTTATTTGTGTCCGTTTCAAAATTAACTTCTTTCTATGATGAGTTATCAGAAGATGAACTTTTAAAAGAAATACCAAGGCTTAGAAGACATCTAAAGACAGCTGATATTGAATTTCACAAAGTCATGGACTGGTCAGTATTTGATGTTCTTAAATTCATAGCTGAATGGGAATTCCTAGAATGTCCTCCAATACCCTGGCTAAGACTTTAATTCTTTTCTTACGATATGTGTGTGTAAGGCTTCAGGTGAGCGGAGCTTTTCAAAACTAAGGTTATCAAAAAATATTAATGATCCACCGTGGGACAGACTAGGCTTTCTGATGTGGCCCTGCTATCAATTGGAAGTGATACAATGGAATGACATTGATTTTGATCAAGTGATTGTCAGGTTTGCAGCTTTAAAGACCAGGAAAATACAATTTTAAATAAAGTAAATGTAATGAAAAACTAATTATAACTTAACCTTGTTACAGTTTTTAAATACATTGATCTCATGATCTTCGATTTATGTCTTTGTTCTTGTCATTGTTATACTGTGGACTTAATTCAACAAAAAGGAATCCATCATGAATTTTTTTTTTGTGGGGGGGTGGGGATGGGGGTGACACCATGAGTTTATTGCACCGGGTGACACCAACCCTAGCTACGCCACTGATTAAATTGAATATCCTCCTCGAACGTGTAAAAAAATGACCTTTCTATGTAGGCTAATTATTTTTGGAATACCGGTACGAAACATTATACAACTAAATGCACTACTACTACTATAACTATAGTACAGTTTAAGTTGACAGAGGGGGTAATGTTACAAAGCTAGGCCTATATACATCAATTCACATAAAACCTATAGTGTTTTGTGAGCCCATTGATATTTATATAGCTTATGTAAGGAACAATGAAATGGGATTATTTAATATTATTATGAGTTCGGTACCCTTCGGTATTTTAATATGGATAATCAGGTGTATGAGTAGGCTTCTAATTTTGGTCACGATCCATCTATTCATGCAAGAGTATTTGCTGGTAATTTTTTTATATAGCTCATATAAGAAAAGAAAAAACGAAGTTTTATAAAAAGTTCATAGACACTATTATTACTATTATTCGACACGTTATATTATACTCATACTAGTTTATTGTACTGTACGAGGCACAAACCGAAACAGTCTCTTTCTCTCCCCCTTTTCTTTCTCTCACTATCTCCCCTCTATCTCTCTCTCTCTCTCTCTCTCTCTCTCTCTCTCTCTTTCTCTCACAAACACACACTCTCTCAATTTATAGTTTTAACATTAATTATATTTACACTTAACAGTCATTGTTTTGTAGGATTAAATAATGATTTTTTAAACTAAGGGTGACTACTGTGGAAAATAAACCCAGTTAAATGCAGTAAAGCTGTGCTATTACATGAACTTTCATCCACGTCTAATACGCTAAATATCAATAGCGGTATCTTAGATTCATTCAGAATTATAAAATTTTTACATTTGATTTGAAGTATTTTTATTCAGAATTATAATATTTTTACATGTGATTTTAAAATTCACGTAATTAGACATCAAAACAGCCAAAATAAATAGTTTTCATTGAATGATAAAAATATATATAATATAATTAATATTAATATATTATATATTATATATAGGCCGATAATATAGGCTAATATAATAGGCCTAAATTATTTATTTAGCCTATGCCTATACTATATATTATTTATATTCACTAAATTATATATTATATATTAATTTTATTTATATTAATATTATTGGGATGATTATAATATTGCTTATTATTAGAATTACTATTGAGTAGTATTTTGTGACAATCAGTAAATCACCCGGACCCGAGTAACTTAGTTTACAAGTCACTTAGTTTAGACTTATTAGAACTTGGTGGAGTACTTTTGACTTTTAGACTTAGAAACGGAGTATTCAGTACTAATATTGACTTAATTGACAAAGAGAAATACTGAAGGCAAAAAAAAGAGCCTAACTAAAAAAAAATTAATAAAGGAATTGTGTAAATTTACCACAATAACAAACTTATCAATAACTAAATTGTAAATTATACTAACCCTTATTTATTATTACTTACTATGCCATGCCCATGCCAATGCAGAATAGGCAGATTTAATTATTATAATTATATTTATAATTTATAGCAATTTAAATAATAATAATTAATTAAACTTTAACTTTAAATTGAATTTAAAGTTTAAAGACAAGTAAAAAGTCTTAACTTTAAGTAAGTAGGAATAAAAATTTTATTCAGGAATATGAATTGAATATCTGAATATGATGAATTATGAGCCTCGTTTTTATTATTTTTTTAAGGCAGACAAAATTAAATTATACTAATAATACTATACTGATAATACTGGGAGGGCAGTATAACTGTTTCTATTCATCATAAATAAATAAATTAATAATATTAATATGGTAGTTATTTAGTTACATAAACATATGACTACCGGTATATAATCAATGATATTATTAATTATTATACTATTACTTTTGTTACAAATAATTTTAATTTAGCCAAGACTTAGCTTATCTAGGCTTAGCTGCCCCTGCCCTACTAAGGCTAAATGATCAGACCTACCAAATAAATGGTCCAATACCCTGACTTAGAACTTAGTAGACTGTTAGACCTTCAATAAAAGTTTTTAAAAATTCAACATCATTCCATCATTACTCTGGATTGGCCTTTTAAGTTCAGATGTTTGAGTCTAATCAAGGCCAAGGGCTAATTTATACCATAAGCCATAAGTTAACTATTAAGCACTAAGTACTAAGTCTGATGTCTTTTTTACAAATCATTATCAGTATTGTTTCTATATTGAATTGAAATTAATTTTAGTCATTGAAGGGCATCAGTTTAGTGATTATTATTATTATATAAAAATACTTGTAAATACAATATCTCAACACTAATCACTAATTAAAATTATATTAATATTTGTTAAATATAAGTATAAGTTAGTAATAAGTTGTAGTTGGAGTATTATTTATGTATTTATTTATTTATTTAGGCATTTTTATATAGCGCTTACCTTAAAGCTCTAAGCGCTTTACAATTATTAAAAACATGTAAACTAACTAAAATAAAATGAGACATTAGGATAGTAACTACTATACTATAGAAACAATTAAAATGGCTATAAAACGAGGACACTTTGGCACGTTTTGGCCTATATTACAGGATTAACCCGAGACAGAAAATAAGGCAGGGCAAGGAGGGTGCATCACAGGTCATAGGCGGACCTAAACAGATGAGTTTTAAGGGACTTTTTAAAAGTGGACGAGGTATACACCTCTACCATTATCATTTATACCGAAATACATAGACATAGGTTATATCACACAGGAGTTGGCAACCCAAAGGTTTTGTGGGCCCCTTTAATAGCAAGAAAACCTTTTGCGGCTGCATGTCATTATTACACCTTATACTTATACTAAACTATTTTTTTTTAAAACACCCACTAAATTCTGTATTTAAATGTTTATCTATTCTCATTGTACATAATAAAATTCTAAAGGACAAAACAGAATACCCGGTAATACTAAATTAATGTGATAGCATTTTATCTTTTTAAAATCAATTTCTTTGACATTACAATGAAGAACAAATAAGTTTATTTATGATAAATCAGGCATCGGTGGGGCCATATTATTTGAGTTGATTGTCCAAGGGTTGGCAATCCAGGTCAATATGGAAGCAAATAATTTAATTTTCAAGAATAAGATTTAGGATCATTTCCTTTTGTTTTCAAAACAGCACAACTTTTATGACATGATAAATGGATAATTAATTAAATTGATTGCTCTATAATATTCACTATGCTACAATGCACCTTCCATAAGGAGTGACTGAGCGCATTATTAGTTACCCATCTATTCTTATTTTGCTTATAACTATTATTCAAAATATCTTATTATAATAAGCCTATTGCCTAATTTTTACAAATGAATTTTAAGTGACTTCTAGATTAAAATAAATAATGCAATCTGAAAAAAACCTACATTTGATTTTAAAGAAATAAGCAATTTTTTAATGAAATAAAAAAAAAATTAAATTGATACCAGTATTCAAATTTATTAAATGATTGAGTCCCATTTAGTTACTAGTAAAATATCCCCAACATAAATAATTCTCTATGTGATAATGTTAGTAACTAATGCTAAGGTTCAATTCAATAAGGGGCAAAATAAAATTCCTGATAACTCATAACTGTGTTAAATGAGAAATAGTGCAAAGGTGTTAAGTACATATTTTTTTCTTTTGTGTTAAGAAATTGTCTCAATTTAAATATGGTGTTAAAAATCTGCAGGATAAAAGGGAATATTAATGTATATATTTAATAAATGGGCGGTTGACATGTCGGTGGGGGGGGGGGACACTAATTGGGAATCTTATAAAGTGCATTACTTGAAGGTATGGTTTGTCAATTAACTTTATTAGATGGGAAATTCACGCATTTAGGCCACCATTGATTGGCAAGCTATAGCTAGTTTATTTATACCGGTAATTAATAAATCAGTAAATTGAAAATAAAGTTTTAAAACAAAGTCAATTCAATTTGTAAAGTTATCTATAAAGACACATTATTTTTAATAATATACAGTACAGCATCAAGTTTGTTTGATAAATATTTTTTTTATTATCCTTTGATATAACAGAATCCATACTCAAGTTACGAATGCTTACTTCAAGGTGCTTGAGTTCTTATCTTTTAAATGCACAAGTCCACTTTTGGCCACTCCAAGTTAAATTAAAATTCCAAGCAGCCCATCTTTCATGCTACAAGTTGGTCACAAGAAATCCAAGTGTTCCTCTTTTTAGACATGACAATCACACTTTGACGTCATATAAAAGCCCTGCTAAAATATATGTTTTTAAATTCCGGACTACAAATGGATACTTTAGCCTGACTCAGGACCACTGTTTTATTTTCAGACAATATACAACTGGCCATTTACGTGTTCCTGTTTTGAATCCTAGAGTTTATTTCCCAAGCTTATTGAATCAAAGGTGCATAAGCAACATGGCAGCCAAAGGAATAAAACTTACCTGGAATGTAACTAAAGGGCAAATCAGTAATGATGCAGACAAGTTAATGGAGCGTATAAAGCAAGTGTATGATTCCATAGGTGCACTTTCAGAGGAAGAAGTAACATATGACAATGTTTTGAAAGTAAGTTCATTAAAATTTCCTTTAGCTATGGTTTACTATTTACTGTTATACAATAATTTACAAGTGCAGTTCTAAAACTTTATTTTTTAAGATGCTTAATTAGGCTAAACAAATAATGAAGTCTGTCCTAAGGAAAGTCTTGTGAATAAAAAATGTTTGAAAGGTTAATAAGGTATAGAAAATTTCTTCAATGCAAAATTATATAATATGAGTTGAATTAAATTTCTTATTTTTTAAATTTGTTTTTATTTTGTGCTACTATTGCCTGTTCATTCCACTTCTTGCCATTTCACTCACTCTGTAGTCACCTATTGATATTCCTTCCCCATGTTTTCAGTGGTCTTCCTATCTATTTATTTTCCTGAAGAAAAAAAAAGTAACCTAACAATGATCAAAATATTGTTTTCCATCAATAATATATTTTTGAACTGATTTATCTAAGGAAATTATAACCAATGCATTTTTAGGCATCAGCTGACAGTGATTGTTGGTATGCTGTTGAAAGAAACAACATTGACTTTCTGCAGCACGTTTCCCCAGATAAAGAGTTGAGAGATGAAAGTGTTGCAATAGACAAAAAATTGTCTGAGTTTGATGTTGAGCTGAGGTGAGGTTTTACTAAAAAAAATATATTTGCATAAAATGATGAAGAGCTTTTTTGTTCACTATCACTAAAAAAGTTACCATCTACTTTGAAACAGTAAAAATTCAATAAAATTCTATATTATGTATCCATTTTTAAGTCCGTTTCAATAAGTGTTTCTATGAAAATACCCCAGTAAGAAGCTTGCCAAATTGTATTTTCTTTGCTAGAGGCCTTCTAAAATTTCCCACAGAACATTATTTGATTTTCTTTTTAGTATTTGACTTTATAATGCCAGGACAGAAATCCAGAAATATAATTTTACAAACTTTCTCTATAAATAAAACATCAAGAAACACAATGCTCAAGCAAACATATTTTTCTATTATCACAGCATGCGCCAAGATGTTTTTGAATCATTTGTTGCTGTGGAAAAAAAAGAAGAATTTAAAACATGGAGCCCTGAAGCTCAAAGATTTGTTGAAAGAATGATAAAGAATGGAAAACGCAATGGTTTGTATTCTTTGATGTGAAGATTTATTACCCTTATTTGAGAAAGTTGTTTCACTAGCCTGCAGTTTTTTAATTCCATATATTCTCTTTGTTTCAATTTTTTTTTAATTAAAGCACAAATTTTAACATTTATTTCAAATCATATTTTCTGTTGTCACAGAAATGCCAGAATCTGGTTAATTTTTAGTTAATGTTTATTTTTATAGGATTGCATCTTTCTAAGGAGATACAAGATAAAATAAAAGTAATCAAGAAGAGAATGAGCGACTTGTCCATTGACTTTAGCAAAAACCTAAATGAAGAAAACACAATCTTAGAATTCACAGAAGAAGAACTCGGTAAGATTATTAAAAGTATCTGATCTTTTATGCGTTTTACCATAGAAAGTAACATGTTGATAAAAAATTAATTTTAAATATGCTTTTGCACTCTTTACACAAGATTTTGAACTGAAAACAGAGCTATTTATCATTGCTTTTAAAGATATTTAATATAAATATTATACAACGTTGCTAATGAGAGTAATTCTTGTCAATTTTTTTAATTTTTGTTATTTTCTCTTTTTTTAGTTGGATTGCCCGAGGATTTTATAAAAAGTTTAGAAAAGGTACATTATTCATAACTTAGTTATTTTATTAAATAATTTGGAATGACTAGTTATAGCTCGCCAAATATTGGCGGAGGCAATATGCGAGCTTCACATCTAATAAAATTACTTGACCAAACATGCATTCAAGTAATGCACTTTATAAGAATCCCAATCTGTGCTAATGTCCCTGTACGCCACTGCACACTTTTTCACACTCCTGAACTGTATTAATATTCTAATGTTCAACCCCCTATTAAATCTCAGATTTATCACATCATATTTAAATTTAGGCTATTTCTGGAAAATATAAAAAAATATTACCCACCAAACAGTGCTGCATTTAGCGCAGTTATCAGGAATTTTATTTTACACAATATTGAACTCACCATTACTCCATGCTTTCTTTCATACAAAGAGAAATATATTGATGGATTATGCTTTGGAACATCTTGCTTTGTTCTGTTTCTTCTTATAAGTAGAATTTGATAATTTTTGTTTATAAAACTCATTATAGGCATTAAATATTAATTATGTGCAGGGATCTGAAGGCAAGCTCAAGGTATCACTAAAGTATCCTCACTATTTCCCCTGCATGAAAAAAGCTAAAAATCCAGAAACAAGAAGAATAATGGAGACAGCTTTCAACTCAAGGTAAAGACTTTGAAAGCAAACAAAGTTATATTAAACAAAAAGTTATCTGGACATTATATTTTTATATACCTGGTAAATCTAATTAATAAGTGACTCATTAACTTTTGATAGAAATTTATGTTATCATATTTTGTATAAAAAATCTTGCAGATGCCTTAAAGAAAACACACCTATTCTAGAGGAACTGGTAAAGCTAAGGCATGAGGTAAATGAGAAATTCTAAAAACCTTACATACAGGTATTTCAACACAGAGACTGAGAAAGCTACAGTGTGACCTGGGAACACTTAAGTTTTTCAGTTTCAAATAACCTTGTTTTTCTTGTTTTTGTGTGTATTGTCTGATGAAGAATACATTTATTTTCAAGCTAAACATATCTTATTCCACAATTTATTTACTTATTTCAACAAATGCACATTATAAACTCATGCTGGTTTCAGATTTACAATTCTTGCTTTAGTTGCCTGAAATAACTGCAGCTTATTATATGTATTCTGTTAGTGCATTTCTTTTTTTAAAGTTTGAGTGGAAAAACTAGTTGCTGTTGTATTTGAGTTTTTTTCATGTCATAATACCACCTATGTAATAAGGTTCTTCATTTGCATTCCACAGAAAGCCCAGTTGCTTGGGTACCCTACTCATGCACACTTTGTTCTTGACATGCGTATGGCAAAAACACCAGAAACTGTGTCAGAATTTCTTGCATCCCTTGCAGAAAAATTAAAACCTCTGAAGGAGGAAGAGATGAAAATCTTTTTAACTTACAAGAAGGAAGAGGTAAATTGATTCTTAAACTGAGTTGTGAAATATGATAACCAGTTAAAAGAGACATCATATTTTATATACCGGTACATCTTAACTTTTACATTACGAATAAGCATTTCACCATTTTCAAGCAGATAATGATAATCATTTTTCCATATGTAATTTTGATGACATTGATAAGATAATTTGAATACTACTTAGTCCTTTAGCAATTGAAGAAACCTGCTAAACTGCCTGTTTTTTTTTTCATTCAAAATATAATTTGTTAAACTAATTTAAAAAATGTTTTTATTGACATTATTTAAGACCTAGTAACATTAGATGCACTTTACTTTCAGTGTGAAAAATATGGCTATGAGTTTGATGGTGAAATTAATAACTGGGACCTCCGATACTACATGACTTTAGTTGAGGAGAGAAAATATACAGTTGATCAGCAGAAACTAAAAGAATATTTTCCAATGTCCATAGTTACCAAGGGTCTTTTGGAGATATACCAGGTAAAATATCTAAATATGAAATCATACACTACGCAATATAGGCATAGAAGAATTTTTATTATAACTCGAGTGAGCTATAAATTTCATCTATCGTTAGGGTTTTTATGTTTGGATAAATGTTAATATAAAGTTACAATAATAGCTGAAAAGCTGTTTCTCAGTGTTGTCACTTTATAATGATAAGAAATTGTTTTCTCCTAAGGAATTACTTGGATTGAGCTTCACTCAAATAAACACTACAGATGTGTGGCATGAGGATGTTACTTTGGTAATTGTTTTATATTAATTTGAAAGGAGTAGTAAGTGAATTAATGACATATGATTATTGAATTATAAAAAAAACATTTTGACTGAAAAGATTTTATGCATACAGCTGTACTAAAACATGTTTAAATAATTTTTTATAGCAAAATTTCGTTGAAGCAGATGTACATCTTAATGACTGTTGCCTTATTGCGATTTTTAAACAAAGTTTGTGAACTTTCAAATGTGAAGATTGAAAGCGTTAAGTGTTTGGTTTTTTTTTAAGTAAAACACTAAACCCGTTATCTAATAACTAATATTTATTATATTTTTATTAGGCCAATTTTTTTTCTGTTTATTGTCTTATTGAATTCTTCTTTTTAATGAGTGTCATATAGAATGTTTGAATAAAATATAATCCTCTTCATAGTACAATGTAAAAGACAAAAATACAGATGAGCTGCTTGGTTACTTCTATCTTGATCTTCACCCCAGAGAAGGAAAATATGGACATGCTGCATGTTTTGGATTGCAGGTATTGAAAGAATGCTTGAAATAAATACAACTTATTTAAGTATTACCGGTTTAAATACTCCTTCATAGATACTTTTTATTCATACATTTTCCTGCATATTTTGTCATTCAAAATTGTCAGTTGTATTTTGAGTAACTAAATGCAAAAACTAAACATTAAAGAATAATATTTTATTAAGAATAATAACTAGTATCTATTTTTGTTTTGCCCATTGTTCTAAACTTGCAGCCAGGCTGTGTAGCTCCAGAAGGGGAAAGACAAGCTGCTGTGGCTGCGATGGTAGCTAACTTTACCAAACCAACTGCTGATCAACCATCTTTACTTACTCACGATGAGGTAAACAAAATTAATTGAATGTCATAAAACAGTTTTCAAATATGAATGATGTGGACATTTTTACACATTACAAGTTACTAAACAAATGAATTTAACAGATTATCTACAGTTTTGAAAAACAATATTAAAATCTCAAAATTTCCATACGTTTTACCAGTTTGTTTTTTGCACTTTGTGGAAGGTCCAAAATAAATGATATGAACTCAAACATAAAATAGTTTAATTTAGCATTGTTTCAATTACGTGATGTTTCTAACTTACATATATTTTCCAATAATTTTCAGGTTGAGACATATTTCCATGAATTTGGACATGTGATGCATCAGATTTGTGCTAAAGCTGATTTTGCACTCTTCAGGTAAAAAATATTCATTTTTTAAAATAGAACTACCGGGTACTATTAGTTCAAAATCATAAACTTTAAAAAAAAAACATTTCTTTGCACTTTTTTCTACCAGTATTAAAAAAATGGGGGAATTTTTATATGTGTAGGTTTTACTTTTATAGCTAATAATTGAATTATAGCTAATAATACTCATTGAATTTGAATGATTTTGAATACTGTTAATCTAATTTAGTGGCACACATGTGGAACGAGACTTTGTTGAAGCACCATCTCAGATGTTAGAAAACTGGGTCTGGGAGAAAGAGCCATTAACACGTATGTCATCCCATTACAAAGATGGGGCTGCTATACCTGATGATTTGCTTGAGAAGCTTACTCTTAGTAGACAAGCTAATGCCGGAGTTTTCAATCTAAGGCAGATAACTCTAGGCACATTTGACCAAAAGATACATACTCGTTCTGAGGTTGGTGTTCTTTTATTGTTCATTATGTAATTCATAGCATTATTTTTCATTCATAAAATTGCAATGTTCAAATTTTAAATACTGTTAATAATTTGTTTAATTTCTAGCTGGCTAAACCAAAGTTATTTCTAAGGATTGAAGTAATCTTTCCCTGAATTCTGTTTTTAGTTAAAGGATATTATTGTAAACAATGTGCTGATTTTTTTCTAGGCGGACACTGCCCAAATTTATGCAGAAACGTGTGCTGAATTTCTGGGCATCAAGGCAACACCTAGGACCAACATGGCAGCAACCTTTGGTCACCTAGGAGGTGGTTATGATGCACAGTACTATGGATACTTGGTGATTACGCCATTTTGATTCCACATATACATGTATATAGTTCAGATATATCAGTATTCATTACTTTGTAAACTTATCACCTCTGTGTTAACAGAAAAATAGTTTATAAAATTGTTGAATAAAAATGATATAAAATGTATTTCACAGTGGAGTGAAGTATTCTGTATGGACATGTTTGTATCCCGCTTCAAAAAAGAAGGCATAATGAATCCAAAAGTAGGCGAAGATTACAGAAAATACATTCTTCAGCCAGGGGGCTCTATTGTAAGTTATTTGTTATATCTAAAATTGTGCTAACAGGATTGATATTAACCATTTATTCAGGGATTGATGGTTATATGGGCTTTTAAAAGATTTTTTAAACATATAATTTTATAAACCTTTTTATTTAACTTGTTTTATAATTTTTTTATTAGGATGCAGCTGATATGTTGAGAAACTTTCTAGGAAGAGAACCTAAACAAGATGCCTTTCTGGAGAGCAAAGGGTTGCATGCTTAAAAATTTTTGTAAACAGCTAATGCCACAAAACAATTATTGTTGGCCGGGTCAAGCACTAATTCAAATAAATTATTAAATTTACCGTAATTTTCATAATGTGAAATTATAAAATCATAATAATAATATACTTCTTTAAAACAAACTTTTTATTCTCTTAAAAAAAATCAAAAGGCTTAAGAAATTAACAAACAACTTAGAGAACAAACAACTTAGAAAAAAAAAAGTTTTTGTTTATCAGTCAGAATTTGTAAGTTTTAAAAACAAAAATTTGCTTCTCTTATGTTTGCCAATGTATTTTCACAGGGCAACATTAGTTGCATTGTGAGCATTGGGATTATTCAATAATCAGGTTATGATCTTAATACTTAATTTATCATAATTTTTTGAATATAAGTACTCAGGCAATATTTAATATTATATTACTCTGTTGCATTTGTTGTTTTACAAAATAAACAATTTGATTTACAAAAAAAATTCTTTTGTATTGAAGTGAGATTTGAAAAATATTTATTGATTTATATATTAATTAATAATAAGTAAGTACAAAGTACAATGAAAAGCACTATTATACATTCTATTTTTGTAACCTGGGCCTTGTTTTCTATGCAACAAATAAATCATTTAGTTAGAACTTCACAATATATCACATTGCACTTGCAGTGGTAAAATTATTAGAAAACCCAGTTACAAATCCCATGGAGAATTCTTGGCTTTATAATTTCAAAGTGATCAATGGGTTGTGACTTTTTTTTTTGCCATCCACAGTGAAGGATTAAATTTATGTTTCTGAAACATCATATTCATGTTTCCTCATTCCTGAATTTATCCCTAAAGTTTTTCTGAACTTCTTTTGCTTCCTTTATTTGTTCAGAGTTGCAGTAATCCTAGAAAAAGAAATTAAAAGATATATTAAGCCCCACTTCACATTTCTTCTTATATATGATAAGCTCCAAAACTTAAAACCCACTTCAAAAGTTGAAAACATAAAATAAAAATAACCACAAACATCTTCAGTGAGACCATTTTTGTATTGCAGTCCATTCTAGCTGGTCTGTAGTAATTTTTCTATTCTAAGTTTTTGTGGTTATTTAAAAAAATTAATTTGTTAATCGTCCAACAGGGGTAAGCATCCTCTTTTGTACATGAAGCTGCATGGAAATTTTTATTATTTTTCGGGCGTTGTGATAATTTTCTAGAGAGTTCCAGGCAATAAATTGAGTTGATAAATTATACACAAGAATTTCTCAACATGGGCCAGCATATATCTTTGGAACCATATAAACTTTTTTAAAAAGAGGACTTATATACCGGTATACAAAAAGAAAGCTGATTTTATAATAAGAGGGAAGCGGACGGAATACAGAGGTTCAAAAGTTGGCAAACACTATTGTAAGTTGTAGACAATAAGTTGAAAATATCTCATAGAAATGGAATCATTTGAATTTCTTCAGTTCCCTTACAAAACAATAGTGATCTGCAGCATCATCTCATTGTGATAATAGAACAGTGTGATGGTGGGAAAGGGGTTAAGGCTAATGTAGTAAACCCTTGGCTAAAATTCTTGGATATAATTAACAACGAAGCAAAGAAAAACATCAGTACATTGGAAGCTAAGAAATATCCAGAGTGAGCATGATACACTGAGATTTCCAAGTGGAAAACAATCTAACAATAAAAATGCTGTAATGTTTCATTTAAAAAGTTCATAATAATTTCTACCTAAAAGGAAAGCTGATAAGCAATTACTACTGAAAGTGAACGGTTACATTACCTGAAGAAAGACCTGTGCTAAATTTGCCAGTTGCTTGTTGCTACTCTCTGAAAATCTGAGCATGCATTCGACTACTGGTAGTATGGTGATAGCTATAATGGGTATAAAAAAAAATCAGTATTATAAAGGGGAAAAAAAGTTCATAATTGGGAAAAATAAATTGAGCGGGTTATTTTTCATGTTTCATGCCTAAAAAAAATTGTATGAAGAGTAGTCAGTATTGAGCTCAGTATTCCAATAAGTATAATAATGGGGGACTGTGATAAGGTTAGGTTCATAGATTTTTCTTGAACTCTTCACAGCATCAGATAAATTATTTTAGTTCATTTATTTTGTTTTCCACTTGCTTTTGTTCATTAGAGAAAGCTTTTTGTTGACTCGTCTATCCTAAAAACATAAGGAAGTTTTATTTCATATAAGAAGACAACATGCGAAACTGAGGAAACAAAAACTGTACCAAAAGTTTTAAAAAACTACAACAGCATGAAAAACTACAGAAAAAATGAAAAGTCCAAAAAAAGTTTCATTTATTACTTTTTCATTTAATTATCAATGTTTTGCATGCATTCAAACTTTGCCTTCTAGATTATTTCTGGATTTGTTTGAAAGCCAAAACAAAATCATTTTGACGTGATTGCAATGAAATTTGCAAATGAGATCTCTGCCCATGTACCTTTATCCGATCTATTGCCCATGTACCTTTATCCCATAGATCATCTACATGAAAAAAGAATGATATTGGCCTAAAAGAGGTAGAACTTCCCTCCAAGTTTTGTTCATGCTACTCTTTTAAACTCTTCTTTGATTTCATAAGAGCCTGAAAAGGATGAAGCATCGATAATTCCACAGAGTATTCAGTTGGATACTCACTTGGAAACTTCTCCATTCATCTCTAATTCCAATTTTCATCTTTTTAAAAAAAAAATTAGAGGTTCACCAACTTAATTTTAAGTTTCCAGCTGGAGTAAATTATAAATTAAAAAAGGAGGCGATTCTTACTGATATCAACTCTAAATAAAATATAGGCTTACTTTTACATCCAAGAAAATAGCAACCGCTTTAGTTTTAGAAAGAGTTAATATGTTAAATTTAGTCATGTCGTCATGACTAAAGCTTATCATTGTTGTGATATTATTACTTCGAGTAGCTACAATTTTAAGGATTCCAGTAAAAGATACCAGTATATTACTTAGATACTGGTCAAACCTCGCTCAGATTCGTCTGATTCTTTTGGCCAACCGATCCAAACTTTAGGGCAAAGGTCATTTTAACGGACAATAGGATTTAAGTTTCCTTTTGACCGATTTGTCTGTGCAAAAAAAACCGGTACAATATCTTTCACACATGATAAAAAATTAAAAACCATAAAAAGCACAAGTAAACTGTACAGATTGGCATGTATGATGAAGACGATGTATGATGTATTCGTGGCTAACCTGATTTTGTCTGTGGTGTTGTTAGGTACATTAGGGTTGTTACTGCAGACATAACTGTATTTTCTTGCGGCCTGTGGGAATAATAATGCAATTATTTATAATTAATCGACATGAAAATTTATCATAATATGCCTTCTCTGTTTAATTCAATTTAACTTTGGCGATATGTAAATTACAATTTTTAAAATTATTGTTCTAATTGTTTTATAAATATCTTTAAATGTTTAAGTGATCAGATATATATGCCACAACTTAAAAGAAAAAGAAACTTCTACTTATAAATCTAATTAGGTTTTTAAATGGTTCAAGTCAAGTGTGATCATAAAAATATTGAGAAATATATTTTATGTGTTAACAACCTTGACAAACATTTAATAATGAGCTCAATTCCTCCTGACTCTATTATGTGTTGTTTGAGTACTTTATCTGTGAATATAAGTTAACAGGGAAACATTATTTGAGAGACTTATCAAAATTTCAATTCACTGTTTTAGAGGAATAACAAGTCAGTAAGTAAGAAGCAGGTTAAGTATTTTGAAGTTTTTGGGTTCTATCCCAATGTCCACACCAGACCACCTCCAAACCTGAATTAAACAAGCTCTCTATGAATGCTAAAGAAAGTATGCAAAAAACAGATTTACTGGAACAACTTGGTGCAAACCAAAGTACACAAAAATGCTGTAATTTCCCTAAAAATGTTAAATATGTTGGAAAAACATGATAAAACATTTCAGTTTTTAAAAATTCATTGATTAAAAATTAAATCTCGTTCATGCATGCTTGTATAGGATTATTTAGTCTAACTTTTTGTTAAAGCTCCTTGCGTTTGTCCCAAAAGTTCCCAAAAAAAAATATTTTTTTACTAACCCAGACAGCAGTTACATATTCCTCCTATACTGAATTCAATAAGCTTTTCATTGTTTTCCTCTAGGCAGTCTAAAAAATAAAGAAAATATCACAGTATATGAAAAAAAAAAATTCTCAACAAAGCCATTAGTTTAGTGTAGGGGTCACCAAACAATGGCCCACAGGCCGGCAATGTCAGTTCATCAGGCCCACCGACAGCACTTGAATTAGCTTGATAAAACGTATGGAACGAGATGTTGAGATACAATTTAATTTAAATATTATGTTTAGAATACTAGGAGATCTTCATACTTGTGGACACCTACCGGCTGCTGTGCGTCTTAAATTTACCATTTTCAATTTTAAATTATTGTATCCAGATTTTCTTGTGTATTGCAGACCTGTTTACTCTCAAACTCCTAAAATTGAACATCGTCTCATAATCGTACATCTTAGTATCCTAATAGTAAATAAATAAACATACAGTATAAATAATGAATCTAATACCTATTCGCATCGCAGTGCCTAGAGGGATCGCAGTTAAGCTGGCGTAACAAAATTTAACTTCTAAAAGTAGATGACGGACGTTTATATTGCAATCTGCTGTCACTTTGTTTTGCATATGTGCATTTGCTATAAATATTAATTTATATTGAGTGGACGTACAGATCATAACAGGCAGTTCCGGCTCATACCAGCGAGAAGCCAGTGTAGGAACTGCTCATTCCTGCCAAAGACAATCAGGGACTGGCACAAGCTTCCAAAAGAAACAGTTGAGGCAGCGGTTCTCAACCTGTGGGTCGCGACCCCTTTGGGGGTCGCACGACCCTTTCACAGGGGTCGCCTAAGACCATCTGAAAATACATATACTCTACAGTTATGAAGTATCAACGAAAATAATTTTGTGTTTGGGGGTCGCCACAACATGAGGAACTGTATTAAAGGGTCGCGGCATTAGAAAGGTTGAGAACCGCTGAGTTGAGGGGACAACACTTGACATATTTGTGTCTTTTGCCTCAGGCCTTCCAATCCCCAGTGCATGATACCCTGACTAAGTAGTCATTGCAACCAGTGAAATATCCTCATCAACACCAGGCCCCTCTACATGCATAAATTGATCGTGGGCCCTTAATATATAAAAGAAGATCACATTATCACAGTCTGTCACTGCTATAAATAAAGTTACTGTTGAAATTTAATGCGGTTCAAACTTGAAGTTAGATCAGCATAAAACAAGTTGTATTTAAATAAGAATTAATTAACAATTGATGAAATCAATTAAAAAACATACCAGGTAACTTGAGATTTATTTTTTAGGAAAAGCTGGTTTTAAAAAAAAGAAGAATCAATATCCATGAAGACTCTTCCCGCTAATATATTATAGTCTGTTAACTACCACAAACTATAAATGGGGGAAATGAAGGGGAGTCTTGGAAACATACTAAAAACCGTACGCACTGCGGTTGGCCCAACGAAATAATTATGTCACAAAACTGTGTTATACAACGAAGAAAACAAAGGGGAGGATTGACTAAAATTATCGCTAAGGCCACTATGCTAATATTACAGTTGCTGTGTCTAGCAAGTTAATTATGAAAACACACAAAGCAACAAGTTCACTATCATCACTATCATAACAAAATGTGGTGATGTTTATTTTATTGACTTAAATATTTAGACCCCCCTCCCCTGCACACTCGTACACAAAATCTCCCAAATCAACACCACCCCCTTCTACTCTCAGGGCACACGTAATATTTGGTCCCCAACAAATCGTATTTCTTTGAAGAGATTTTCAGATTTGACAGAATTGCAAGTGACTTTCTTCTGTTCCAGAATCCGTTTGAGTGTTACCTTGATGTGCCAGTTGAACTACAGTTGGAGCTCATTGATTTGAGTTGAAAGAGAAGCACAGAGAAGATAAACTTGTTGAAATTTACAGCTGCACACCTGATGTTCAGTTTCTGAAACTGAAGAAATTTGCTGCTTGTATGGCATCAGTTGTCTGTCAGCAAACATTTTCAAAAATGAAGTATGTGAATTCAACACATCAAACAAGATTGACTGATGAAGATTTGAAAGCAATTCTCTTGATTGGATGCAGCAATTCTAAACCAAACATTGCTGATACCTTGAAAGCCAAATGTCAGTTTCACTAATCTCACTAACATTTTTTGCTGCTTAGTTTGTGAGATTCTGATATGTATACACTAGGTCTGATGTAACTATCTTTTTGCTAACATTGCCTTCTTTGATCACTGTTTTAGTAAATAAATACGTCTGTTGTATTTGCTTTTTATGCACTGCACTACACGCCACTCACCCATGATTAACATGGAATGCTTAACTTAGTTTTTCGTCTTTTTTCCCAGAGCTTTCGTTCTGGCTTGCAAGAATTGTACAGAATTATTATACAACCCGCACTTGTCATTTTGTCAGTTATACAGCCCACTGTGAAAAAAGTTTGGTGAACCCTGGTTTAGTGTATGGGTACGCTGATTTAGTGAATATGAGATGGCACTATGTGGATCTGCATTTACAGAACACAGGAACAGACTTCTAACAAGTTCTTTTTTTTACAGATAAATTGTATATAACTTCAATGATATTTTTTTTCACCCAGTTATAAGTATAAGAATAACTATTCACACTTTCTCTCCATAATTAATTACCAAAAATAAAAACTATTTGAATTACCAATTCAATAACAATACATGAAACATAATCAGTGGTTTCTTACTCCATATTGCCTTGGCTGTTGTAGCAAGGCAAAGTAATTTGTGAGTCAAAGTGCTGTTTCCAGCTATCCCAGTTTTGAATCTTTTCTGGAATGAATGTTAATGTTATGTTCTAGAACTATTGCATATGCATATACTGAATGTGTCCAGCTCAATGCAGAGGTTCGGGTTTAGTTCTAAATGAAAAATTCATTATATTGGTAAGATTTAAATATGAACCTTCTGTCATAGCATATTTAATAGATTAATTTATTATCGACTAATGGTAGTAACAAATGTCTGAGCATTTTAAATTCAAAATATTTATTTTTGTACATGTTGCAAAGCCTGAACAACAATTATTAATAATCATAATTAACTTACCAAGAAAGAGATCCACCACATTCAATTTTTTGAAGAATTCATAATTTATGGGATCATAGGCAAAGTTAGCTAAGTTTGCAAGCACTTGTTCTTTAGCATCTTTGAAGAAAAAAAATACATTAATCATACAATATGATTTTAGATTATCTTTCAGCCGATGATTCTAAATACGCATCCCTGAGAAAGCTACTCCTAGGCAACCGTTTTGTTCCAGTTACTTCGAAAACTAGTTGCAGGGTGGAAACCCACTGTAGCAACCCTCTAAAAGGGTGCGACGCTTCCCCGAGATGGTTGGGGGAAGATATTAGGACGTAAATGTACCATCCCGACTCAATGGGAGAGTCGGCTGTGGACCCTTTAAACGCAGCATCTTCAGCCGTCCGAATGTCCCCGGGTGGGAGGACCTCCATCTGCTAATCCGATTGAGCGGGTGGTCCAGGCCGGGGAAGGTCCCTGGCGTGCTGCCGCATGGTCCAGCATCAGGGAGACCTGGTGTCTGGACTGTGTGGAGGTGCGTTGGGGAGGGCATTAATGGCCCGCTGACATCATTTCCCGATGCAGCATATTAGTTTTACAATTAATTGTTAATTTTATAGCTTTATAACATTAAAATAAAATTATTTTTTCTAAAAGTTAATATGTTTAATTAATTATTTTTGTCTTTTAACTTACATGTGGTATTATCAGTTCTTTTAGGCAATGATTAAGTGCTAGGTTAGCTAGCTCAGTGGATCTAAACTTAATGCCTGGTGTTCCAGCAGAAGGTTGCACATTTTTTAATTAAACATATAAAACATTAAATATTATTTAATTATATTGTGAATGAAGTTTTCATACTGTCAGTCAGTTCAGATGCAAATTTGTAACATTTTTGTAAATTTTGTAAAATATTTAAAAGGTGGTCAACAACATTTTTGCCACCCCCTTCCAAGAAAAAATCACTATAGTTGGCAGAAAATGCTGCCCCTCATTATATAGAAAAATGAAGACCAGGGCAGACAGCACCTTCCTCACCCCACTCTCTTAAACCACTGTAAATAGCCCCCCCCCCCCCATTAACTCAAGTGAAATCCGCCTGTACATAAATGTGATGAATGGGGTCAATAAATTTGAATTGCAAATCTGATTTATGTTAATGAGGGGTTTTACAACAATCTTCCTTGCAACAGTGTTTGGGATTATCTTTAAAAAGTAGTAAGTTAATAAATTTTATATTTAACCTTCCGGCGAGTGCATTTTTTTCTTAACGAGACTGGTGTTTCAAAATTGATATTTATTAATGATTGACTAACGGAGAAAACCAAACTGTGCGTCTATCGAGCTTGTGTCATCAGTATACTACTATACGGGAGCGAGACATGGACCACCTATACATCCCAAGAGCGCAAGCTTAATAGCTTCCATATGAGATGCCTGCGTCGCATCCTTGGTATTAAATGGCAAGAAAAAGTGCGATATCGTTCACAATCCTTAGTGAAAGACGCCTGAGATGGCTAGGTCATGTTAAAAGAATGAGTCCCGGCCGCATTCCGAAAGACCTCCTATATGGTGAACTTGCTTCGGGAAAGAGGAAAACAGGTCGCCCACGTCTGCGATTTAAAGATGTCTGTCAAAGGGACATGAAAGCAGCCAAAATACATACAAGTGACTGGGAGTGTAAGGCAAAAGACCGATCTACGTGGCGCACAGTTGTCAAAGAGGGCGTCATTGGTAGCCGAGGAGCGAAGAATGGAAGAGGCTGCAGACAGAAGAGCTAGAAGAAAGGCCAAAACATTTAGAAGCACGGAACTCGTGTGTAAAAACTGTGGTAAAGACTGTCACTCAAGGATAGGACTGCACAGCCACTCGAGAAAATGCAACCCAACCCAACGGTGATGCACCATCGTCTCACGAGACGGAAGGATGCCGATACACATCTTGTTTTTGTGCAATGTATCAATGGTAATTAGTCTACTATTTAAAAACGCTGGCATTAATTAAAAATTAATAATTAATGTATCAGTATATATACAAATATGAAAAAAGCAACTTACCAGAGCAATAAAATAATACAACTGACGAACTTTTAAAAAGTCACGTGCAAAGGCGTGAATCAATTTGAATAGAACAGCCAAAATTTACAAACTTAACTGTCTTGGCCTATAAAGAAATGGAAAACATTAAGCTACTGACAAGTAGAGCTCAATGTCTTCTCTCATTAATGTGTGCAAAGAATAACGGTTAGCTTGTATCAATCTCATCAGAGGCCACTGCCAGAAGGTTAAAACACTGCTTTTTAAATCTCTTTTAATTGTAAGTTTTGGGTTAGAGAGGAATGTGGTGTTGAAGTCTAGCAAGTTTTTTTTTTTTAATTTAGTGGATTTGTGATTGTGTTGCCAGTGTTGCACAATAATTAAATATTTATTTTCATTGTAATTATACTCTTTATCAGAATCAGGTACTTTGAAAAGAAATTCATGTGCCAATAAATATATGAAATTTCTGAAGTTATGGCCCGGTCACTTTGTATGTGAATTCGAGTTAAAACGAGACATGTTTTTCTTTAAATAGATTTTAGGACATTAGAGTGCTGTGAGCAAGCTAAAATAGCGTGGACACAAGCACAATATTATATATATAAGAATGAGCTACACTGACATAACGCCAAAGAGCCTATACGATTTAAGTACATTGGGATCCCTAAAAACAATCATAGTTATTTTCTTTTATTTTACAGAAATTGAATAAATTTAAATGCGCAAAAATATTTTAAATCCGCTTTTATTTTATTAAAAGTTAAAGTTATATTATTACCTTAATTATAAATTACAAATACCGGTACATTTAAAGTATCAACTGAGGAACTATTTTAAGCATTTTATATGTGTTTGAAGTAGAGACGGACCGAAAGTGATTTTTTGATTTCGGCCAAAGTCGAAAATAGGCCGAAAGTTTAAAATGACTTTCGGCCGAAACCGAAAAAAGGCCGAAAGTTTAAAAATGACTTTCGGCCGAAACCGAAAAAGGCCGAAAGTTAAAAATGAATTTCGGCCAAAACCGAAGCCGAAAATGAAATGTTAAGATATTTTGAAATTCGTTCCCGCATACATTCTGCATGCATCGAAAATGATGTGGGAAAGTATAAATATTTACATTCTTTATATAAAAATGAGATAATTGTGAATATTAATAAATAAACATCTGATATAGGGGTCTCAAACTCGCGGCCCGCGAGCCATTTGTGACCCATTTTGCGGCCCGCTACATGACAGATAAGTTTAGTGTAAATGCGCCGGCCCGTTTCCCCCATTCTCGTATATATAACGTGACTATCCGCAATGGTTTCAGTCGAATCTCACCGACTAGTCTAATTCTGATTTTTTAAAAAATATTTCTTTATATTTTTGTATGCAACAGTGAATCCTAGTTCTTGAGAACCCTTAATGATTTTAGTGTTATTTATAAAGGTTGAGCAAATTGTAACAGTTGTAATCGCTTTTTCGTGGGTTACTTGATGCGGCCCACTCTCATTCAGACACTACCTCCTGCACCCCCCTCCCCCCTTTGATGATTTGAGTTTGAGACCATTAATCTAATGAATACTTTGGATTTTACCATTTTAATATAAAAGTAATTTAAAACCTTTGATTATTTGAGTTTGAGACCATTAATCTAATGAATACTTTGGATTTTACCATTTTAATATAAAATTAATTTAAATTGCTTTATAATTTTTTTAAATTGGAATGGTAGGAGAAAATTTGGCAAAAATTGGGGTGGAGGGGGGGGGAATTAATGCAAAATATTATTTTTTTAAATCGGGTCTCTAAAAACTGTGGTTCTAAAAGATCGCTTAATTTGTTTTTAAAGATCGTTTAGTTGGTTGTTATTGATCGGTTTAGTTTGTTGTTAAAGATCGTTTAGTTTGTTCTTAAAGATTGCTTAGTTTGTTGTCAAAGATCGTTTATTTTGTTGTTAAAGATCACTTAGTTTGTTGTTAAAGATCATTTAGTTTGTTCTTAAAGATCGCTTAGTTTTTTGTTAAAGATCGTCCAGTTTTTGTTAATGATCGCTTTATTTGTTCTTAAAGATCGTTTAGCTTGTTCATAAAGATCGCTTAGTTTGTTGTTAAAGATTGCTTAGTTTTTTCATAAAGATCGCTTAGTTGGTTCTTAAAGATAATTGATTTTGTTCCTTAAGATCGATTAGTTTGTTCTTAATGATCTTTTAGTTTGTTCCAAAAGAACATTTAGTTTTCTGTTAAAGATCGCTTAGTTTATTCTTATAAATCATTTAGTTTTGTTCTTAAAGATCATTTAGTTTGGTCTTAAAAATCGTTTAGTTTGTTCTTTAAGATCGCTTAGATAGTTCTTAAAGATCGTTTAGTTTGTTTTAAAAATCGTTTAGTTTGTTCATAAATGTCATTTAGTTAGTTGTTAAATATCATTTAGGTTGTTCTCAAAGATCGCTTAATTTGTTTTTAAATGTCGCTAAGTTTGTTGTTAAATATCGCTTTCGCTGAGTATTAATTGAACAAAAACCTGAGTCACTTTCGGCCAGATGGCCGAAAGTCTAAGTAAATTTGGGCCGAAACAGAAGAAAAACCGAAAGTTAACTTTTCTCTTTCGGCCGAAACCGAAATTAAGCTGAAAGTTAACTTTTCAGTTTCCGCCGAAACCGAAACTTGGCCGAAAGTGATAAAATAGCCACTTTCGGCGCCGAAACAGAAATTCGGTCGGTCTCTAGTTTGAAGGTTATGAAAAAATAAAAAAAAATATAAATATCATGATCCAAGAATTACACCATAATCACATTTATCGGGAAAACCCAAGCATCACTCGTTTTTAGTGCGTCTTTAAGTGCGTTGTCAATATTGCGAAATAAAATTAAAATTAATTTGTTCTAAATAATCAGCAAATAGCCTATTTCACAATAACTCTTAGGTTTCTTTAAATTCAAAAACCGCATGTGACAAAACTGATAATGTATTTTCCCTTCTAAAAGTAAAATTAATAAATACAATTGATTGCTTTTAAAGTTGTTAATAAAACACACACATATTTTTGCTTTGTTTATTTTTACATTTAAAAAGTTTTGCCTTTTTTTATTCCAAAAATATACTTTTATTAAATTTATAACGTAATAAAAACTAACATTTAAATATAATTATAATAAGAAAATGCCATTAAAGTCAATCAGTGCAGAGCAACTCCAAAGCTAAATAGCATTCACTAATCCACTTATACCTCATACAAATAAGAACGAGCCATACGAAGTGCAAAATGTGTTAGTTTGGGTATGGAAGGGACTACAATCCGGTGGAAGATTTTCTAAATTTATTTAAATCTGGGTGGGGGAGAGGTTGGTCACTTTGCCCCAGGCAGCACAAGATACGTCTCAAAATAAAGGAATAAATTTGATAAATAATTAACCTTCTTGGGTACATACATATCGGAGGTAGGAAATAGGATGTGTACATTTTTAAGTGGATGACAATATATTTAAATCCTATGGTATTACATTTGTGAAAAAAGAGATGTTGCATTCTCTTTTTACAAATATGAGTATGTTCATTTTTGCTCAAAGCAGCACAAAATACGTCTCAAAATAAAGGAATGATTTTGATAAATAATTAATTTTCTTGGGTAAATACATGTCGAAGGTAGAAAATAGGATGTATACATTTTCACGTTAACAACATAGTTAACTCCTATGGCTATGGTATTACATATCTGAAAAAAAGAGATGTTACTCTCTCTTTTTACAAATATACTTATGTTAACCAATTGAGAAGATCAACGGCGTTAACAAATCTTGGGTACATTTATATAAGTTTATCCATGAATATCAAAACCAAATCATTTTACACACTTGAAATTTAAATTTTGACAAATGAAGATGGGTTAATATTTTCTTTTTTTTTTAAATGATAATATATTTTTGTTGTTACTTTGCAAAAAATAAAGAGGTGTGTATTTTTATGAGATTAACAATTACATTTTTTTAAAAGACAGTTAAATCTGATATAGGCGTGAAAAACAGTTGTGATATTCTTCTTACATTAAAGAATTCTTTGTTTTACGATTTTCTGATAATGTATAATTTTATAAAAAGGCAAAATGTGTTTAAATTTTTGATGAAGATATCAATATATATTGAATTCTTGTAATACAAAATATATTTATATCATATATAGAGTTTTTGTTGTAAATTTAAGATTAGGCTTTTTAAAAATTTTGAGAGAAAAAAGATGTAATTCAAGGGCACGAAAAGGGGTAAATCTAAAGTATTTCTCTAGCGTAGTAATTGTCCCTCAATTAACTTCTTTAGTGACAAAAGTGATATAATTAGTGATATTTTAGACTGGGTAATTTAAGGTCATGTTTAGAGGGGGAAAAGTAGTTTAGAAGGGGGAAAAGTAGTTTAGAAGCGTGAAAGGGTGTAGGGTACCCCGAAAGGGTGTATGGTACCCCTATCATCATATTTAGCAGATAAACTTAAACACTTCTCAAAACTTAATGATGTTCAACGTTAGAAACGTAAATATCATTACATTTTAAAAGTTATGAATTGGGACGAGTTTTTGCAATAGCAGTTAGAAATGATCGCAAAGAACCTACCATTATTAACCCGATAACATCGGGTCATTTATTCTAATATATAAATAAAAGTCAAAGGTACTCGGTCAATAATTAATAACCAATTTTAAATTTAAATCCACTGTGTTAAGTTATATAATGAGGGCATTACTATTCCTTATATTTTTATTAAATGTATTACTGTTCTATTACTATACTATACTTATATTGTTAAATTATTATATTACCTTCATCAGTAGTATCTTGAAATTCTGTGACTAGCGATTGCAGATAACTTAAACGGCCTATTCCATAAGGACCTGTTTTCCTATCCAGGTATTCTTTTGAACTAAACATGTTTGTCTTTGAATAATGAAATTGGCTAGTATAAGTGAGTAGTTTCCCCTTAGTTGAAAGTTGAAGATTATTAACTACTAATTTTATTTAGATATTATGTTCGGCCCTATACAATAAAACTAAATCGATTCAGTTAGTGATATCTGAAGATGATTATGGTATGACGGAAAATACCAAAGTTACAATCTTGTCGTCTTCTATTCTTAAGTAAATGTCTCAGTTTTTTTTTTGCATCACGTAATGAACAACAAATTCAAAAGTAACTTTCGAATGGGAAGTCTAAGTCTAAATGACTAAAATATTAATACTTAAAGTTTAAGAAAAACACGCTATTCCAAAAATGTACTAACATTATAAAATAAATATCCTCCAAAGCTTCAGAGTTATTACACTCATATGATTAAAACGAGGGTGGGGTGCCCATGAAATTCAATGATGTCGTGTGACTTTTTTTTTTTTTTTTGCTCTGTTCCTTTATTAGTTTTGTGTGTGCTCAAATCTTGCATCTCATTGTTGACCTACTTCCTGATCTCCAGTAGAGCTGAAAACAAATAACATTGAGTTCATTGCCGCCCACGCCCCTTTTTTAAAAAAAGTCATATGACTGTAACAACAAGTTTTGAGGACTATTGAATTTATTTTAGGCTTTCTAGTACATTTTTTTTTTTTTTTTTTGGAAAAGCGTGATTTTTAATAAGCATTACAACAACAACAACAAAAAATAAAATTGTAGTCTTAGTCTTGGAAGTTGTAATTGAAGATCAGGAAGTGGGGTGAAACGTAGGACTAAAGTAGCAAGGGGCGTCCATTAAATACAAACACGTGAAAGGTCAGTGGTAACCTTTCTGTGGTAAAATTTTGTTTCACATTGCTGACTGTTATCGGGAACGAGTAACCATACATAAGGAAGTGCTGTAGGCAGGGAAAACCTTTTGTCCCTCTTACTTTCCGTTCCTGAGATATCCACAAAGATATCCGCAGAGGTCACTCAAGGGTCAGTGGAGGTCACTGGTGACCTGCTGATTTGGCATCGGGGGTGGGTAAGGGTACAAAGTTTCAGCTCACCTCTAGATCAGGAAGGGTGTCAAAACTGAGATGCAAAATAGAGGTCACTCAATGGTAAATGAGGGTCACTGGTGACCTGCTGATCATGAAGTGGTGTAAGGCCATCGGGGGTGGGGGGTAGGGAATTTGTATATAGTTTCAGCTCAATTGCACATCAGAAAGTTTGTATTTATTGAGGTGGAAGATTCCACCACAGACAGCGCAAACTTATAAAAAGCGAATAATTATGTTTCAATTTTGGAACATGTATGGTGTCATTAAATTACGTCACGCTAAAAATGAACTTTTTAGACTCCCCTCCCCCCCCCCTGTCACGAAGTGTCACAAATTCTTTACCCCCCTCCCACCCCACCCCCCCCAAATTTCAAAACATACATAAAATTTTCATAACTAAACTAAGAGTTTATTTTATTTTTAAAAGCTTTCCCATAGTGGATTAAGAAAAATGAATTTCATAGCACCTATAATACATGAGGCAATTTCGGTCTTAAATTAGTGGGGGGGGGGGCTTTTTAATTAATTAAATAAAGATTTTTTTTCAAAATGAGAAAATTGTATATTAAAAAACAACAAAAAAAGTGACGTCACAAATTTTTGACCCCCATCCCCTGTCACAAATTCTTAACCCCCCTCCCCACTGACGTAATTTGCGAACGTCCCCTATCCAACCAAACTTCGGAACACACAAATGTCATAAATTTGGTAATCTAAAATAAAATTAGTATCGACTTTTAATGTTGCTGATTTCAATTAACATTTTATAAAATCCGTTTTTAGGCCATCCATAAAGGACATAACGCGGCTAAGGGGTGGGGGGGGGGGGTATTTTTTTGAAAATGGCGTGGGGGCTTCAGTAACGTAACATCGAATAAAAACGGAATATTATAGTAAAGAATTGCTCTTTATAGCCCTAAATTCTAGATTTTTTTAACGTTATTTTATTATTATTAGGGGGGGGGGGGGGGGGGGGGGGGGGGGGGGGTATTTTTTTGACAATGGCGTGGGGGCTTCAGTAACGTAACATCGAATAAAAACGGAATATTATAGTAAAGAATTGCTCTTTATAGCCCTAAATTCTAGATTTTTTTAACGTTATTTTATTATTATTACTAATCGAAAGCGTTTGTGTTTTCTTTAGATGTGCTACTTTTGTAACAGATTTTCCTGAATAACAGAGGTTTTAAAAAATAATATATATTATATTTATTATTATTTTCAAGAACCTGTCAAGTACTATGTTTTTTGAAGTCATAACCGAATTGTGACCGACTGGCCGAGCCGCACTCAGGTCGTTAAAGAGCTGCTTGCGGCTCTTGAACCGCTATTTACCGGCCACTGGTGCATCCGATATCCTAAAACGACATGTTTTAAAGGGTGAAAAATATGAGAATATTAAAAATAAAATGTTTAAAAATATATTTTACATCAGCCCCCCCCCCCTTTTTTTTTTTTGTGTCTTTGTGAAGTAGCCTATGTGGGAATATTGGATTTTATCGTTTAATTCACTATTATGGCCATATTTATTGACGATTTTGCCACCCTATATTTATTAAATTCCAAACTTCTTGTCTTTTTAATATAAAACATAAATAAAATGCCCATCTATTTGCACTGATATTTAAAAAAAAAAATTCCAAGTAGAAGTAGAGAATCTTTCAGACAGCTAAAAAAAAAAAGAGAAGATTTTTGTGATTTAGCATTTCGATTATCATGCCAATTCCATTTTTTTTGTTGCTACATGTTTTACAATAAATTCGTGTTCCTAATGTGTCAATTTAAAAAATGTTTTAAAGTATATTTTGTAATTTTTCTGAAAAAAAGTTATAGTAGTTTGAAATTCCCCCAAAAAATTTTAATCAACTGAACACTGGGAAATGTATTATTTTGTAAACAACTCATGTCTTCTTTACATAATAATGCCGTTAATATACGATTTATAAAAGTGACCAGCTTTGATAACCCATAAAAATGTATAGACCTTTCTACTTAACAGTTTTATTTCTTCTTTTTGACTATGGTAAAATTTGGAAAAATTTAGCAAAGGTAATTATTACACGTAAGTTGATTATTATAAGAATTTTTTTACTTTTGCGTTCAACCTATAAAATGATGTTAGTAGTGCTTTTTGGGATGGAAACCTTTGTTGTTGTTTGTTTGTTTGTTTTTTTTTTTTTTTTGAAAATTAATTTATTAACTATGTAGTTAACCCCGAAAAAGGTTTAAATACAAAATGAAAGCCACATAACTATTCAGTTAATTAAACAAAATATTTGCATAACACAAGCAGGTCAAGCAGACCCGTTGCTCGACTTTACGAGGCCCATTTTGCCAATTTTTTGTTTTGCCCCCCCCCTTTCCCCCCAGCTTGCAATGAAAGGTGATAAGTAATTTTTAAAAAATGACATCACATATTTAAGCCCCTAAAATACCAAGCAGTCGTAGGGGTTGCTGGGCTCACACGATGTTTCTAAGGTTAAGTGCCATGCACATTTAAAAAAAACTAGAATCTCTTCCGTTGCTCTCCAAGTGTAGAACGTTGCAAAGCTAAATTAAATTATTTGCTAAAATGTATTCTTGCATTTTGAATTTATCAAAATAAATTATGGGGACTATAAAGATTTATAGGCGATGTTACGCGAGAGAAAATGCATACCCTCAAGGGCGGCGCAACGTTAATGAATTCAGGTCATGTCCCGCTGGTGCGGCGTTAAACATTTATTTGACCATTTTATGGATACATTTGGCGCTTCCCACACGAAGTTTCAAATTTCACATCAAAATTATCTTAAAGACACACCGAATTAAAGTATGCACCGAAATGTAGGCCTATCTCTGCATTTTAAATTTACGCGACTGTCGTCAGCAATATCAATTTCTTCACCCCTTCCCTCACGCTGAAAATGTTACAGTATATGGTTGAATATATGCTTATGCCAAACGATTACCTTGGGGCACGCCACAACTGGAGTGAATTCAGTTTATGTATGGCACTGGGACCATAATGCCTCTCCAGATCATTAAAAATCTCCTCCCCTTGATCAAGAAGTCTAACAGAAACAATGACTTCAAATATACTCCAAAATGCACCTTTTGATTTTGAAATAATAAAAAAAAAAAAAATTATGAGGAGAAGGCAGACCTTTCCACCGCTCAAGATTCATCATACTTGCTTACGTATGCCCTTTACCCATTCTTGGGCATAGGGCGTCTACAAGAATTTTCCATTCATCTCGGCCATGTGCTTTCCCATCCTGCTGCTTCCAGGTCTCCATGTATTTTTAGGGCTTCCTTTCTTTCTTTTTTATGTTAGGGATTATCTAGTAATATTATCTAGGGGTTTGCGGAGAGTGTGCCCTATCCACCACCATATTTTCCTTGTAATGTCTTCATCAATGAGCTCCTGGTATTTCCTTTCGAGTGAGTCTGTGTGGATGATTATATTTTGCCATTTGATGCTTAGGATCTTCCAAGGCAATTGTTTAAGAAGGTCTGTACTTTCTGCGTAATGTTCGCTGTTGTCCTCCAATTTTCTGCTCCATAGAGTAGGGCTGTTTTGACATTTGCGTTGAAAATACTGACTTTGTTTTGAAGAGACAGCTGCTTTGACTCCCATATTTTTTTTAATAGCACAAATGCTGACCTAGCCTTTACAATTCCAGCCCTGAAATCCGCTTAGGATCCACCATTTAAGTCAATGCTGCCGCTTAAGTATGTGAAAGCCTCCACCCCTTTCAGTGCATTTCCTACCAGAGAGATGTGCTCATGGTTTTGCTGAGTTTACCTTCATGATCTTTGTCTTGCTTTTATTGATATAGTAACAACAGGTCACACAGGTACGGTAATTTGATATCCATGGGAGGTGAATTTCTTAATAAGGGTTTTTAAAGGACAATAGTCACCACATGGAATTTTTAAAGTGGGGGTGGGGGGGGGGATACAGAGATTTGTGACGTTATATTGAGGGTCGTGGGTCTAACTTATTG